ACAAACAGATTATTCAAAAAATAATCAAAAGCAAAAAGAGGAATTCGTAGTTAAATAAAAAGGAACATTGGGTAGGGTACATTAAGGAATAGGATGGGGGGGGACTAGGATGCAGCCATCTTAGGGGGAAAACAAGATGACGGATCCCCAGTCCCGGGTTTCAACTCCATTTCCTCGGGAGAAGGTCCCTCCCGATCCTTCCCCCCGGAGGAAGAGCCAGAAGAAGGATGGGGGAATATCCAACCCCGCCTCCCCCAATAGGGACTAGCCTCGTGCAGGGATGGTGCAGAGCCATTGAGGGAGAGATGGGACTGGCGGGAAACCAGGGGCGGAAAAGAAGGGTCAAGGCGGGAAAACGGGTTCCAAGTGGCGTGGCCAGCGCCATCTTGGGAGGGGGTGCCGGGTACACTGCACTTGGCCTGAGCAGTGTCCGGCAGGGCACTTGGGGCGGCTCGGCCACAGCAATCCCCAAGGGAGGATAGGAAAAGGTTTAGGAAAGTCCGAGGGGATGGGGGCATAGGGAGCTTCACAGAAGCCAACAGGGGAAATGTACAGGAGGGGGGCCCGACGCAGCTGGATGTTGGTGCAATGCGTGGGTGTAAAGGGCCTCTTTTAACAACCCTCCCATAGTTAACGTGTCGCCTTTAAATGTCCCACTTGTGTCTTCTCTACCCCCTCCGTCCAGCCCAGAATGGGGAGGGGAGGATAGAGAAGACAATTTTTTCGAGGGGAAGAAAAAGCGATCTAATCTGGGTTGCCACAAGACTGGGCAAAGAATAGCACTCAGTGCTAACCCCCCCCAGAAAAAGAAAACCCACCCGCCTGCCAGGGACATGCAGGGATACAGCCCCAGTCTGGGCACAGGCGGAGGTTAAAACGCAAAAAGAAAAGCGGCAAACCCAGCCGTCTGTTGGGGCGGCCCCCACCCCGTCTAGCCCACCTTACCCTCCAGGCCCGGGCGGAGATGGCTTGAATCTTCTCCTCGACTCGATGGAAAAGTCGCGCTAAAACTGGGGATGTTCCTTCCCGGTTTGGCCCTTCCGGAGGCTTAGGTGTTCTCGTTAAACCAAAGCTCGTTCCCGAAGCCTTGGTTTCGGCCACTATCTGCCTCCGGTGGTCTCGCTGCAGATGCCTTTCTTCAGGCTCAACTCGTGAGCCACTGCCAAACCACACTCTGTCCTCGGGTAAGTCTTCCCGCTTAAAGCTTCTGCAGCTCGGCTGCCCCCGCAGCGCGGCTGCTCCAGGGCGGGTAGAGAGCGCAGTGGCGAGGACGAAGAGGTCCTGGAGCTTCAATCTTATTGCTCGGCGCTCAGCTCCTCTTAGCATCCGGCAGAGTTGCCACGGCCGCAGATGTCCCTCTTCCCTCCTTCTTCTGTGAGGCGGGCGCCCCCACGAATTTGCCCGTTTTTTCTAAAAGACGAAGGAGGGAACCATCCTCTGCTACCATTTGTTGTGACGCGGCAGGCACTCCCCTCACCGCGGCACCCCGAGCGGTGCCGTGCTGGGCTGCGAGAGGGAAGAGAATGGGCGGCCGCTCCCCCTGCGAAGCTCTGCTGTCCCAGTTGGTGGCATGGGGACAGACAAAGGCGACACGGGACTTGGGGGTGAACAGGATGGTTTTATTCAGTGAGCCCCAAGACCCCCTCGGGAGCGGGAGCAGAGGTTTTATACAAGAATTCAGGGAGACGGGTGTAGGAACAGCAACCAATGAGGGAACAGCAGGGGAGGAGTTTAGGGCAGAACTAACATATGACAAACCTATCAGAGGAAGCAGGGGAGTGGAATAGCACAAAGTAATCAATAGGGTGTTGAGCCTCACTAAATAGACAGGGAATGCTCTGGAAGCAGAGGAGGGGGCTAGGATGAATGACAGGGAAGGTTCCAGGGAAAGGGGCAGGGAAAGGGAGGATTGACAACTTGGAGATGAGGGGGTTAGGGGAGAGCTAGGGAAGATTGACAACTGGGGAGAGGAGGAGATTAGGGATGGGGGGGGTGAACAGATATTGAACAAATATTAAATGAAAGAAAAACACACCACCGCACTATGTTAGCAGAATAAGCATTAAAATTAAATAGCTTTCTAAGTACAATAGTGGTCTTCATTACTGCCAGGAAGTAGCACCAACTATGTGCAGGTTAAGGGTGCCGATTTTGGATATGATGTACCTGAACCATAATGTATAATGAAGCAACAATTGAGGTACTACTGTTCAGGTTCCTTGATTTCCAACTTGCACTCAACTCCAGATTAATCATCAATAATATATATTCAGCACTAGGTTTCAATCCAGCATATTTTATGTACTCTAATATTGCAATCATTGCTCCTGGTTTACTATACCAAATTGACACAAAAAATTCCCACTTATAGAATCAATCAAATCTGGTGACTCTTCACCAAATCTGTCAAATCTGGTAACATTTCACACTGCATGTCAAATGCAAGAGTGAAAATGGACGGATCGGGAAAACCTAATATATTTAGACTGGAGAAAAAGCAACTGGTACCTCTGGTCCCAGATCTGGTCTAAGACTACCTTTGAGAAGATTGGTGTTTATCAGCACCAGAAATTTCCACAGTGTACCAAAGCTATGCCTGAGTTCCAAAAACAACAGGCAAATGCGTTAACAGGTATCCAACTACCTTCAAAACCACAAACTGGAGATTCTGATCCTTCTTTTTCAGCTTTGCAAAGCTGAGGTAATTTTTCCTATAAGATGCTCTTCGACAAGGCAACAAAGAAACTGGAGGTGAAAAATATGCCAAAACAATAGTAGAAACTTGCAGAGTTTTCAAGCCTTTAAAATAGTCCCTGAAGTCCCTTTATATCTGATAATATAAAGGTAGTCAGAGGCTCTATGTACAAAACCCAAGAGGGTAAAATTAGTCAAATGAGATTTAGAATTTAAAGTAAACCATGTTCTCTGAAGAATATTCAGACTACAAAGTGTTCTGCCTGTAAGGCCCCAAACAACTCATTCAGCAAGACACATAAAAAGGGCTTATGGTTGTTCATGTATTCAGAGTTACACACATGGGAGAAACACTGACACTGTCTCAAGAGATCAAAACAACAAAAAACACTTTATTAGCAACTTTAGACAACCATAGAACTTTGGCAAAAGGTTTAGTACAATATTCAGTCAACATAAAACACTTCTTAAAACATTAACTTGGCCATCCAACTTCTCAAATTCTAAGCCCACTTCATTTTAAGTTACTCCAAAAATTCCAAGAAGAGGGAATTAGAAGAAGAAAGATCAAGAAAGACAGAAAATACACAGAATAGCATATATATAGCCATCAATTCCTGGGTTACAGCAGTGTTCAGATAGAAATTCCAAGAGAAAGTAGTGTCAAGACATCAGATAGCTTCATATTCAGCTTTAAACACCCTTTGGCCTTCCTAGGCCCTTCGCCTGGCTGGGATTTCCAGTCACTTGGCCACTCAGGAGCTGGGTTAGGGGCTTCAGAGGTGGACATGGACCAGTGCTTCTGGTGTGCCAGGGATTGGTAGCCACTGCAGGGCTGGGACACAGGCTCTAGGGGTGAGGTACACTGCCTTGCCAGGGCAAGCCCCCACCTGCCCCTTCCCCCACACACATGAGTCCTAAAATTCTCAATAGGAAATTAAATTACTTTTACTGGTTCTGATTGGGTTAATCTTATCTGTCAGCATTTAATTTTCTTCATAGCAGCTTATGTGGTATCATCAGATTTGTTATCAAAACAAGGCTGACGTTTGATTGAGCAGTGCTTTCACAGCATCAAGGCCTTCTCTTGTTCTCACTCTGTTCACACAGGGAATAGACTGGGGGTTGGGAGTGGGGATGAAGGGTGCAAAGGAGGCTGTGAGGGGACAAAACCAGGCAGATGTAATGAAATAAAAAAAGGATGCTACAAAATAAGCAAAGGGATATTTCTTGCCATATGACATCATTCTCAGCAATAAAAAGGGAAAGGCAGAGGTTTGAATGGGTTAGCCACCATCTGCTCTGGAATTGGTTAGACATTGTCTGACTCATGGGAGATGGTGAGAAATTGCCTCTGCAGGCAATTTCTTTACACTTTCTTTCTCCACTTCTACTTCACTAAGTAAACAACTTATCTTAACCCACAAGTTTTCTTGCTTTTGCTTTTCCTTTTCTCTTCCCTGTCTCACTGGGGGTGCATGGGAGGAAGCAAATGAACATTTGTGTGGTGCTTAGCTGCCTATTATGGTTAACCCACAAGGGGCTCAAAGCCCACTTGTGCATTGAGTATGCTATCATCTGTTCAGACTGGATGCTTTTTACATGTATATTTACAGAATGTAACCATGGATTACCACTCAAAATAAAATTCATATTGCCCACTGCACAGATAACCTCTGTGTCTTGACAGAACCCAGGCCTGGTTCAGGGGTTCCATGTAGTGGAAAAGTCTCTCCTCCAACCTGTGGAAGGAGGAAGGACAGGACCGGCCAAAAATCACGTCCATCTTAAAACCTCTGACCCCCACCTACAAAGTAAAAACTGCCCTGTACAGGTGTTAAAACCCCCCCTGTACAACACTAAAAAATTCTACCCTCTACTTTGTAACTACTTCTACTATAATATCTAAACTTTTGTGACTTCTTGTTCTTCCTGCAAAGTTGGTAAATCATTCCATGGTTCAAACTCAAAATCACAGCTGTTTCCAGCTGCCTGCCAGGGTCTCAAATGCTTCTGACCAGGGCCTGGAACCTCCAAAAATGTCTGAGGGACATTTTGAGTTCCAACAGTGTCTGTTTTCACTTTTGGCCAACCAGCTGACAAAACTTCTCTCCCCAGACATTATCTTGCACCAGTTGGAAGAATGTGGCAGAGACAGAGGGGCAGCTAAACCTACCACTAGATATTCATTATATATATATATTTTTTTTTTTTTTAACTTCTTAGTTATAATGAAAGGTCTTTCAGTTGTTCCTAAAATCAGCTACAGATACTACAGGCTCTATTTTTTTAACAGGAACACTTTCTCATAAAACAATATTTTTTAGCTCATCCCTCACTTGAGAGTCATCATAAGTTAGGTTAACCATACATGCTGCTACTAACCAGGGATAACACCATTTTTTATTTTTCTCTTTAAGGAATATCTTAATCAAAATCAGCTGGTTTACCTGCTGAAGCCATTTCCTGTGGTAGATCACCTCAAATTTCACAAGAACTTTTGCTACTTTGTTGTAATTGCGGATTATGCTCTTGCCATCTGGTGTTTGTAGAACTGCTGGATGTCTCTGGAAAGTCACCATGGGCTCCTTGATCCTATGGAATAGGTGATGTGCCCACAAGATCTTGTCAGCTACTGGGGGCAGATTACAAGCCAGTGGAGGGTCCTTCTTGTGCCTAGTCTTACAGACGCTTTCTATGTCATGGCCATAGTTTTGAAATATTTTCTGATACTTTTCATCAATGCCAAGATTTGGGATTTGCAATCTGCTTAGAAAAAAATAATAATGAAAAAACTCCTTCAACACTTCTGAAATCCTCCTAATGCATTGCTGGAAAACAGTTGTTCCAGATTCCCTTGCATGCTTTAGAAAATAACTACTTTGGCAGCAGAGTTTTCAGCTTGAACAAATGTTGTCACAACCTGACTCCAAAAAACAAAGATCTAGACCAGATGATAAAAGTTTCCAAGTAAGTCTACACTTTTTCTGTTTTGTCACTGTTTTCAAACACTGGGCTGAAATTATATGCAGCAAACTGTAACCAATTCACCACTAGCTGTCTATTTTATTAAACAGATTATAATAAAAAACCTGACAGAATAAAGAGTAAGGCTGTTTTGCAACAATGTTAATTTAGAAAGACAAATTTCACTGTTTCTTAATAAAAGCATTTTATTCTCTTCTTACTGCATTGTGGTAACAAATTAATGTCATTGTTCAAGCATAAAGCTAAGGCAAATATGCTAACAAAATTTTCCTTTACTTCAGCTGGTTTTGAAAGATGAAGTTCAAAGTCCACTCATATTTTGCAGTTTCTGAAGCAAAAAATTATGGCTTTTATTCATTCAAGCTACTAAGACAACTCTTAACAGGGCTGAACAGCTGAGACCAGAGAGGTTGAGTTTATTTTTTTTGTATTTAAGAAAATGCCTCCTGCTCTGCTTTCCCTCCATCCCCACCCACCCCCCCACTTCCCCACCCCCAGCCCTTTCCACTATCCTCAATGTTTTATTTTCATTGCCTGGCAGAGTTTTAGAAATCTAAATAGGACATATTACCTTTCAAATTTCTGCAACATACTCAGTGCCCTTTCAGTGTTCAGAATACTTTCGAAGGTGATGTCCATGAACCTCCTTAATTGATCCTGAAGGAGAGTAAATAATTCTACATCAGATAAGTCCCTAAAACACACATCAAATATGCCAAGTATTACTTGACAGGGTTTAACATGCAATATATTAGAAGATAATTTGTTGATGTGAAACTGATCTCAATAAGTATTATTTTTCCACTCATTTCTTCCCAAAATAATTAAACAAAACACAGCCAACTTTTGAGGCATTTTCTTTCCAAGTTCACTCTGTAGCTCTGCAACCAGGAAAAGCTTCTGTAGCCTCCGATGTTTCACCACGTTGAGAGGCCTTAAAGAATGCTTGCTTACCTCTCTGGCAACCAAAGCATGACAAGCTTTTTTTTTTCTTCTGCAGATACCCTTTTCTTTCCCCATCTTGTGATTTCAGAACTATTGGAAAGTTAATTATCTGACTTATTTGTACTACACTCCTATTCACTCAATGAAATCACCCATTTTTGTTATTCTTGACAGCATACAGTAATGAAAAATCCTTTTGCTGAAGGCCCTCAATGGCCCATTCCATTAAACTAGTCTGAAAGATAGTAAATGGAAGCTTCAAAGTGGAAATATATTGGAATAATTTTTCAATTTCAGAATGCAAACTTTGAGATTTGCATTTTTTGTGGTAACTCAGAAAGAATAGTAAGGATTTCTCAATAAATTAAAATATTTTGTATAATTGTATCATACATGAAGATCATTTATGTCTCTGCAAAACTCTTCGTAGTCTTGGTCAAAGTCAGTCTTCCGGTGATCCAAGAAATCATAATGCTTATTCTTCATGTTGTCAACAATGCTCTAAACAATTTCACAGAAAAAGAAAACCATTACCAAAAAAAATGTCTTATGAAAAAGGCTTACCACACCAAAAATTTAGCACAACAGGTTGAGCACATTCACATTTTACCTTTGCTAATAGTTCCCAGTACTTACTGAGCAATATAAGCAAACCCCTTAAAACAAATATTTGCAGAAATCAAGTTGGTGTAATGTCCATTCAAATTTCATTTCTATTATTTATTTCAAATAAATTTGAATTTTTTTTCAGATTTCATTTGTATTATTTATTTCTCTTATTCTAAGTCAATTATAACTGACACAAAATTCAGACTTGCTTTTCATCAGACATTTTTTACTAATTAAACATTCTGGCATGAAGAAGTACATTTCTATTAAAAATTTAAAGTTCAACAGAGAAAAATATTTTTATATTATTATTTTCCATGTTCTTTAAACAACTAATTCCATATATAAATAGACTGTTCAAAAAGCACAGTAAGATGCAGCACATCACCAGCCCACAACTTAGTATTTCTGGTTTCTCTTACACAGCTGCTGTCTATACACATAAAAGTATATCTTAATCATCATCTGCCTTGAGATGTACACACAGATAAAGGATTCCTAATGATAAACTACTGTTCAACATCCTAGTAGTTTACCACAGTATAATTATGAAACTCAGCATATTTCCAGCTCAGCTGACTTCCCTAAATTTATGGTAAGTCAACTGAAATTCAGTTTCATTGCATTGCTGTAAACAAAAAATTCCATCTTTTCCTTGAACAACATGTAAATCCCAGATAGGGACTAAGTATTAAAGCATAAAAACCAGCAAAATAGCTAACTCTTATTGTAAAAAATTTTAAGACATATAATCAGTCACATACTAACTGTAGCTATGGTCCATGTCAAATACTTCAGTAGCTCAATTTTGTCACTTTAAAAAGAAGTGTGATCACTTTTCTGCTCTTTATGCAATCTATTCAGGACCTTTCATGCAGCCTTTTTTACCAAAGCATTCTTCATGCTGAAACACAATTGACTTTAAAGCAGCTGGGTCTCACACAAAGTTCTTGTTTAAGGACTTGGGTGCTCCAATGGATAATGAGGTGTATCTCTATAAAGTTTGCATCATAGCTTGAGCTGATGGTCACAGGCAGTTTTTCAAACACAAATGCCCTAAAGAAATTAGATTCATGTTTTCCAGGCTATAAAAATTGCACTTCATTGCATGATCTGAAAATTCCCCACAACCCGGGTTGCTGAGAAGTCTGGTTATGCGACTTTGGAAAGCAGCTCTTGGAAATAACATTTAGAGCAATCCACACCTATCCTGCCCACATGGAAGAGTCTTGGACTAAGGTATCCTTACAGCTGTGCCCTGGCTAACTCTCAGAAGACTATAGAACAGAACAAAACAGAAAACTGGTTACTGTGAAGGATGTATTCAAAGAATCAAAACCCCAGACAACAAATGGAGTAAACCAGACAAGAAAGGACCATGGAATGGCCACATTTTACACTACAGTTATTTCACTAAAGCAAAGTGATTGACTCATAAAAAAAAGGCAAAGAACAGAGTAAAGCAAACTAGAATGACGTATTTTCCTGTACAGCCGCTGATTCATATGTGATCTCAAAAAGCTGTCTACAAAGTCCACACATGGACACCTTCTGATTTGTTTTAATATTTACAGGCACCATAATTATGATACTGCACTGATAAAGTTACACAAAAAAGTAAGCTAACTCAGGCTCAGTAAAAGCAGGAAAGACTCCATTTGGCAGAAAAGAAAGCTAGCTGAGAAAGAAGGAATGATATTCTTAAAAGAGCTTTATATTTATTTTATAAATAGCTTTAGAGCTATTTATATTCTTAAAAGAGCTCCTTGTTACTCAAGTCCCACTTCTCTTAAAAAAAAATAAAATAAAGAAAACCACATAGTAACACTAATGAGCCAAGGGGTACTCACAGCTAGCCCAACATTTGTAGAGATGGAAATGTAGCACTTCTCACTTTTTCTCATGACCACAGCACAAAACCATGCTCCCATTACTCCTGTTACAAAGTCATCCCAATTTATTGCACTTTTCAATCAGCTTTGATTTTAGCATACTTCTTTCACACGTCCACTGGCACCTTTTCTTTCATCTTGTCTTCTCATTTCTCCAGTAATCACATATTTACATTGCTATCACCCAGTATTTTTAAAACAATTAAAGAGTTCATTTTTTTCTCAATAAACACTTCCCTAATTTTCATAGTTTTCTCATAAAAGGTTCAAGCTAGATTGACCCAATACACAAAATCTAATGTGTACCTGATATTTTGTGATCTTGCTGCCAATCCCTCTATCTTAGATTCCTGTAGAACTGAGTAGGTTCTCATAGTACTGAAAACATCTATTGTCTTTACCAGACGACAATGAAATGCTTCAAATTTTCCAAAAATATATATATCTCACTAAAATCAAATTGTCTTTCAGCTGGATTTTGTTCCAAATTCTCTTTTATCTTGTGGAAGCAATTTTGATACTCCTTAAATAAAGAATTTAAAATAATGTCAAGCATATAACAAAAATCACTGTCTTTAGCTAGAAAAAAATTTACACAGATAGGCATTATCCCAACCTGACAGCAAGTAGAAGTTTCACCAATAAACTATCATGAACACTATAAAGAGAGTAACAGAATTTGCCTCTGAAAATTAACCCATCAATGCCACTAAAGAATTATACATTTCATCAAATGACCAAACTGTACATATATGTATTTGTACATATCCTTGGCTAGCATGAAATTCTGTTCCCTCCATTTCATAGCAGGGTGTCCTGGGTTGTAAGATAAGCTTGTATTCTATTTGCCATCTGTTGAAGGCAAACCTGTTGGGCAGGTTTTGTTATCTTTTCCAAGAACCGGTTTTGCTCCTAAGAGGTAATGGTTTGTTAGTGGGCCATTGACTGATTCAATGCAGGGCTGGTAACATAACACCATCCTATTGTGAGATGTTCCACCCAGAGGGGGAAGCCAAGCACTCTTTTATTGGATATAAGGGGTACCTTTTTGGGGAGAGAGCAGCTCTTTACTTTGGGGGATTGCCAGAGAAGCAGCTCTCTTCGGCGGCACTCGCAGAGAAGCAGCCGGAGCGCGCTGAGGCAACAGCGGCGGAGCTCGGAGGCAACCCCGGTGCAGAGGAAGACCGGCCCCACTGCCACCAGATCTTCAGAGGAAAACTATACCCTTCTAAAGATCACCACTGCAGCTGCAATTCATCAGCCACTGCAAGGGGAGCAATAATCCCAGCAGGACTGCTACTGGCACCCCGAATCCTCAGGTTCTGGACTTTTTTCACTGGTTTTGTTTGTACCAATTGCATTTGCCTTTTTAAATTGTTATCTAGTTTTCTCCTAGTAAAGAATTGTTACTCCCATTCCCATATCTTTGCCTGAGAGCCTTTTAATTTAAAGATCCTGGTAATTCAGAGGGGGGGGTGGGGGATTTGCCTTCTCCATTGCACAGGAGGCTTTGCCCTCTTTCACAGACTCCTGTCTTGTCGAACCAAGACACAGGGTTTGATGTGTTTACTGAATAACCAAGATGACAATCCAGTTTCCAGAGACTGCAAATGTTTGCATGCTGAACAGTTTTACTGAGTAATCAAGGTTCAAAAATCACTTTCAAGAACAAATCACTTCCTCAACTTTTAATGCTCCTCCATAGCAGCTTCCATTTTGGATTCTGCATTTCTAGCAAGGAACAAACCTTATTCCAGACTTGCTAAATTCTTCCCAAAGTCAAAGTACATAGTCAACAAATTCACTTGAAACTGTTTCTTTCAATAGTGGTTCTCTTTACAATAAAATGTTCATTGTTTTATCACATTTATGTATGAATAACCTCACTCAAGTTATCAATACAGAGGGTCCAGATTTTGCTATGTTGTTACTGATTCAAATTCTAAGTTTAATCTATTGAATTTCTGAAAGTTTCTGGAACTAATGAGATTCAAATTAATACCTAAATTTCAATATATTTTCATGCATAAACTGGACAATTTGATATATCTTTATAGAAAAAGACAAGTTTATTGCTCATTGCTGATGGTAAGATGCCATACAAATTTACACTCTTTATTCTAGAACTAGGTAAGATTTGTTGCTTCAGGAGGTATTAGGATAAAGCTCTAGTCCTGCAAGCACATATTGGGAATGAAAAGAATTAATGCAGAAAGCCTACGTGAAGCTCCCAGTATGTACAGGGAGATTATCTAAGAGAGAGTCAGGCTCTTCTTCACAGTAGCACATGGACAGAAGCCAAGAAGCAAAGGGCATAAATTAAAATGGATGAGGTTCTGACTGGCTATAAGGAGAGAATCTTTCATCCCAAAGACAGTCAAACAGTGAAGGATGATGCCCAAAAAGGCTGTGTAATCTCTTCATCCTTGGAGAACTTCAAGACAGGACTAGATAAAGGATTGGGAAACCAAGTTTGATCTCATACTGTGCCTGCTTTGAGTTTGAGTAGAAGGTTGAACTAGATACCTGCTGAGGGTCCTTCCAAGCTGAATTGTCCTATAATACTATGCTTTAAGGGGAGAAGAAGAACAAAAAAAACAAAAACTTTAAAATTATCACAGAAGTGCATTAAAAAAAAACAAAGGCTATCTTCCTGAGAAGTCTATGTTGACTGAACAGCTGAATTCTTCTCAGTTCACTAAACTGTCCTTTCTAAATTTATAGGTTGTCCACACTTCTTTGAATATATTCAGTTCAGTAGCTCTCCTTGTTTCAACTTCTATTTCATAACTCTCCACATCAAGTGAGAAGACACAACATACAGAAACATAGGCATGAAAATCCAAGCAATTCTCTTATAAGCATAGTTGAGATAGACTAAGCATCAAAATTCTGTTTCCAGAAGATCAACAGACAACAGGTTAAATTCCTTGTTAGCTCTAGCATAAACATTCCAGTTCCAGTGGATATTTTTCAATTAACTCATTTTTCTTCACTATA